CCCTACCTCGGATTCGGCTTGGTCAGGGATAGGCAACCTTGGCTCTTTTATGACTCGTGGACTTCAACTCCCAGAATTCCTGAGCCAGCATTCCTTAACCCTTTATTGGTACTTTGGTGATAGTCACCGGTCATTTCACAGATTCTTATTCTTGCCCCTTTTTGCAGAGTCCTGTAAGACAAACTCAAGATAAAATGGTTGGGTGCTGGTTTTTCACTTCGGGTCCCGTTTCTTTGAGTGCCAAAATCGATAGGAAAGGGTATTGTAATGGTAAGTATATTCCGTTCACACGATTACGTTTGGCTTTGGAGTATCCTGTGGACGCTGCTGTTTATGAATTTATAGAAATCCTGGATTCTTAGCAGAAATGGATTTAGAAAGAGAAATCCAGTAAGCCTATATAGGTGAGACTAAAGCAATTTAATTTCCATCATAACAAGTATGTGCTTAAGGCCTAATGTCATAATGAGTGCTTACCTTTTAAAATGTGTTAGCTTAGCGAGAGGAACTAAAACAAGAGGGGAAAAATAGCCAGAGGGAGCTGTCCTCAAAATGCAAACCTTTTTCATCATAATAGATTAGTTTACAAAGGTGGATATTTTTTTTCATGTTGCCTATTGCAGAATTAGAATTTTTTTCCCTGACTTGAATTGAAGATTATCTACAATAACTACCTTCAAAGGCATATTTAAGAAAACATTGTTCAGTGAAGAAGGATGCTGTCATCGGCATAGGTACATTATAACTTACTCGTTGTTCCTGGCTTCTTTTTCTGTAGGTGAAGTTATACCAATTTACGCAGAAATTGAAAATTGTTCTTCTCGGTTAATTGTGCCGAAAGCTGCCATTTTCCAAATACAGACTTATGTGGTTAGAGGGAAAACAAAGACTTTCCGCCAAATGGTTGCCAACGTGCGAGGAAACCACGTTGCCTCAGGAAGTACGGATACCTGGAATGGCAAAACTCTGAAAATCCCACCTGTCACCCCTTCTATCCTTGACTGCTGTATTATCAGAGTTGAATATTCCTTGGCTGTGAGTATGGCTTTCATCCTGTTCAATCAATCGCGATCCATAGATTGTAATGCAAGAACACCTAACTGATTTTGCCTA